TCACACGAAATTTAAGAGAATCTCGTTCGTGAATCTATAATTAACGAATACTTTGATGTGATGTGGCCAATACGTCTGCATACTCGTTGTGCAGATGTCGATGAGATGATTCCTTCACGACAGGTCAAGCTTGGTGTACCGCTGTTGAATACTTTGATGTGATGTGGCCAATACGTCCTGCATTACTCGTTGTGCAGATGTGGATGAGATGATTCCTTCACGAAAGGTCAAGCTTGGTTGAATCTTCAACAAAGAGGCTAGTATATATTTTCTACGTGGGGGAAAATCGTTACGTTTCAATGTTAACTCAGTGACCGCATTTTCACCAGATGACATACCCTCCATATATAACTATCGGTTTTTTAAGATTACTGTCTCTCTCTTTTTTTCTTCTACGACAATTGAGGGATTCTGATTAGAGTGATGGGATTTTAAAAAAGTGTACAGACTCATTGGAAGGAAGTAAGAATTATAAAAAACAACAAAATATTTATATATAGAATTAATTATTTTTTTATTTATCATTGATTATTATTGACTACCCTTTTTTCTATGTTCCTCAATCGAATCGTTTATGTACTCGTATTTTTCGTGGCGTAAAAAAAGAAATTTAACCACGCCAATACACGTTATTTACATAGTTTTCGAGCTGTTAACAAAACAATATTTAATCATGCTATACATTTACACGCTAAACAATTATTTCGTGGCGTTAGAACAAATTCTCAAGCACGCCATAAATGTATACTACATGTAAGTATTTCATCCATGTTTTAATCTTTTATAAACTGCGTTAGTTTTCAAAATGCCGTGTATGTATTAGCGTAAGCAGCGTGAATGGGTGTGTGTGTGTGTGTGTTTGCGTGAACGCTCTTCACGATACATTCAAAAAATCCTTAGTTGCGTCAATGCTCGTCTAATTTAAAAAAAAAGAATTGTGGTAATTTGTGAAAATGTATTCACGACGATCGCATACTCCCTTGTATATTTTTTTTTCATTGAAGCAAATTCATTCACATCATCCTTATGCAAATTATCCTTTCACGGTCATTTATGCTAATTTATGCACGGGTTCCATTGTGACGTCATCATTTATGCTAATTTACGCACGGATCCAATTGTGACGTTATCAAATTTCATTATAACATCATCAAATCAATTATGAACAGCGCCACCACAGTCGTCTATAATGTAACTTTAACTACTCATACGTTTTGCAGGAATGAAAATAGAAGCAAGTAGGTTGCCATGAACGTCACAATCACCCCGGTAAAAGTAACACAGTGCGTATAATAAACTGCCATTTAAATTCAGAAGCAAGCGATACAGGAACCACCATAAATGACGTTTTGTCTTTGTAGGCCACCCCCACATTTTCATACAACTTAGCTAAAAATTATACTGAATCCCAACTTCTGAAACACCTACAGAAAACAAAATCATTTCAATATAATGTGATGATTGCAATAAATTTTTTAGTATAGAGGAATTGAACACTAATTAGGTTACTCTACACGTATTGTACTGATAAGAATTTCTTTTAACTTCTAAATGCGACACTCCTTCCAAAATTATTATTTTTAGTTTTATTTTTGGGCTTAGCCGACTTTTTGAATATAACATTAAAGTACACATTGTTAGAGATCACTTGTTGAGAAACAACAATATTATGTAGCCGACATAGAAAGTCATTTGACTATTAGTAATTTGGAAGTAAAGCGAAATATGAAAAAGCAGCAACAATTCCCCCCAAAAAATTATAATTTGTTTTTCGTCTGTTATTTGCATTTAAACTGCTGAAATACAGGCTAGGCTTACAGTCACAAGTTTTTTGTGTAGTCTAAATGAAGCCACATAAACTGTTTACACAAGTGCAACGTACATTGTATAATGGGTACTCAGTACTTTTACAGATTTTCCTTCGGAAGCCCACGACAGCGCACTCACATTTGACTAAACTGGAGTGCATCTAGCTTTTATATGTTGATGTTGTCATAATCGCATTTTTTTTATAATCGGCAAGTACTTAATACTTCGACTACTTGTATGCCAAGTGAGTAATTAATATGGCTCATTCAATATATGGTGCCTGCGCTTGAAGTTTCAGTTAGTTAATGTCCATTCGTAAAATCACACTAAGTTGGAACTCTGATTTTTGCTTGCTGACAACCTTGTTGTTCAAACGATGGTTTCGTTTATAAGAAGTGTACTCAATGCAGTGTGCTGATCAGCGTGATACCAGTTACGCTACAACGGCCATTATCCATACGCCATGATGTCATCCACCGATCTGTAATCTATAATTGCACATACTCCAGTACATCAAGTTATTGTTGAGTATGTAAATCAGGTGACAAACGTTTTGAAAGGGTGTTTATCACCCCTTGATTATCACACAGACAATAAGTATTGAATCCGAGTTTACATTATCGCAGACATTTCCCAATTCCTTCAGTTTATTTTTAAGCGATCACCCCTCCACTGGCGCATATTATTGCCCTTTATTTTGATCAAACAGTATAGAAGTTACGAAAGCTTTCAAAATAGTTCATGGTAGCAAATATCGAGCAAAGTGAACACTGAAATGATTTTGCAAAGGCAATATACTAGTATCAATTATATCGTAATAGATCTTAGGCCAATGCTACGTATACATGTTTGTTTGCATCGTATATCAAGTCCGTTCTCATACTTAGAAAAAAAAGTTACTCAGAGTTCCAATCTTTCACCATTTATTTCTCAATAATATTATGCTGAACATTAAATTGAAGCTTACTTCTATATAACCCTTTTTTTGCCACCACCCTTCTAATATAGTACTCATGAATAGCCAACAATACGACAGCAAATTAATTTAAAATTAAAATTACATGTTGCCTGTGTCGATAATCTGTTATTAGAAGACTGTTAATCACACCTGTAATGTAAAAAAATTGCATTGTTTTAATATGTTGTAAATTAAAAAAAATTTGTGTTTTCAAATGTAGAATTGGTCAAAATTAATTTCCAAAAAAATTTAATCTGAACAAAAGTTCTATAAAACAAACAAACAAGGCTCACGTTCAACTGTAATTTTAACATTATATCATATGAAAAATTCAGCAATGGCAGATTTTTCAATTATTGACACAATTAAAGTGATCAAACATGATTTTCAATGATATCAACTGTAGTGTCAAAGGTCACTAAGAAATAGCCATATATCTAAGGTAATTTCAGCTGTTATTAAAATTTAATGACTAATCAGCCCATCAACAAATATTGCTGTCCGTAGTTAAAAGCTTTTAGTGCCAATAATTAAGAGCAGGACAATTATCTCTCAATAATAATATCAGTTTTGGAGCAAGTACTGCTTGTGCGGTATAAATTTTACATTGTACACTAGATAACCAATTCGGCTTTAAGAAGAAACACTCAACTGGTTTGTGTACTCTTGTTCTCATTATAACACGTGTTTCCTCGATGCTTCCAAGGCTTTCGATAGAGTAAATCTTTGGAACGTTGTTCAAAGAAGTTGTGCATTGGGAAATTCCCTCAAACATGTGTTCATGTGGTTGTCAGTTTGACACCAAAATTGTTAATAATTTAATTTATGCAGACGACATATGTCTCATTGTCTCATTGCTTCTCTATCAAAGACCTACGTAAACGCTTAAATACAAATGAGCTATATGCGATCATGACATTATTATACCATTATGTACACAAAATGTTTGTATTTTCCTGGCCGTCATAAACTGGGTAATATACCACCCGTATTTATGTTTATGTAGTCAATAATTAGAATTTGTTTAGTTATTTTATTATTTGTGTCAAAAAACACTCCTGACTCTAATAACGAGTTTGATCACAAGAGACGTTTGTTTTGTGTTCGTGCTAATCTGTTGTAGCACTGAAGTTAAGCAATTGTATTCAAAACTTACTGTTAATTTTAATTGCTCTCAATAGTGGTGTTTGTTTTGAAAGATTACACTTAGTGCCATGAGGTTTTCATATACAAATAGTTTTCGGATTTTTTTTTGGATACCATGTAGTGTCACAACAATGTGTGTTGTGATTCGAATACAACATTCCATCGCCTAAGAGAAAGTTAGTATCTTTATTTACTTATGCGTTTATACCTCCACTAATTGCATTGTCTTGGGAATATC